GATTAGATCTAGATAATATAGATGATAGATTAGATATATAGATAATAAAGATGATAGATAAATGAGATAGATGATAGATTTTTATATTTTGGCAGCCATTATAGCAGGATACTAAAGTCACGCTGCTGCTGCTGCAAGGGAACCAATGCACCCCAGCACTAACCACAGCCCTGCAAGGTAGGACAGCTGGATAGCCTGTCACTGATGATAGAACTGACTGGGAGTCCAGGATTCAGGAGGGAAAGTTGGGGGGCTGATCTGGAATGGCTCTCAGTCCTTCCTCCTCCCTCTGTTTCTGCACCGGACTCAAGACACGGGGGCCCGTCCATCCAGCGAGATACACTCAAGGTTTTCTCCCCGCTTGTTCGACTCCTCCCACTCCCATCACTTCTGCAAGTGTTGGGAGTTGTAGTCCCAGCATCTTTGGGGATGGCTCAAGTTGGGGAGGGGGCCATTAAATGAACCTGCCGCATAAATAAGCACGCACGCACCGAGGTGTGATTGTGCGATTGTGTTTCTAGGGGGGAGATGCTGCCCGCCCCTACAATCTGGGGACAGAGACCTGAGGTTAATATTAATATAGCCTCTCTCCCTAGTCTCATACCGGCATGCGCACACGATCCTACCTTTATTCCCTCCTCGGGAGCCAGACCAAGGGGCTAGTCCTGTCTGAGGTCGCCTGTAAAGAAGTTGAGGGTTCCGTTCTGATAGGAATACGCATGCGCGTCTTTCCGGGTTTCTGGCACCGCCCAAAGCGCCTGACTCGGACTGAACGGGAGGAACCATGAAACGCCTCCTTGGAGGGGGGACCCAGCGAACTTTCGCCTCCTTCGAAACTCCGTGTGGAATCCCAGGCCAGGCAAGGAATTAGAAGCACGTCTAAAACAGTGCATAAGTCGCCCATGAATCCTCCTGGAGTAGCCTTCAGGGTTTCTTTGCCAACTACTTCACAGGATCCCCCTTCGGTTGTAATTGGTTCAACCCACCACCATTGAGGCTTCCAGAGAAGGGCTAATCTAACTGAGATAAATGGGGGGAAGAGAGGTTTCACCAGCAATTTACCTGCACTTTCCGATTTTTAAGACTCAAAATACCAAAGCCAAATAGACTGCTAATTCGGAAGAGGGAAGGTAACCAGAATCTCCTGCCCGGAAATGTGGATTTTATATTTCTCCTCCCCTGGGGAAAATGGTACGGCCCGGTCAGTCCCATGAGAGTCATATGATAGAAACAATGCAAAATTTGTCCAGAGAGGATTTTATTTAGATTTGTATCTCGCTTTTCCTGCGGGAAGGAATTCGGGCCAAAGCGAATTACAGAAAAAAAAAGTGCATTATTTGGATGACCCCCCCCCCGCTTTTCCATTGCACCATCAACCAGGGTTGCAAAGTCTTGCATGCAAACAGAAGCACAATTGGGGGGGGGGGGAGTCTCTGCCCCAAAGAGCATGCAAATCCCTATGGGGCGGATCCAGACAATCATTTCTTGCCTTTGTTTTTGGGTGCGAGAGGATGATGGGCTTTGGTTCTCCGAGACGGTCCAGGGATTCTCAAATCTCAACAACTTTCATTATCGAGATGGGTGGACTCCAACTCCCAGAATTCCCTGGCCAGCCATGGAGGAACATGGGAATCTTCCCCACGTTGCTGAACCTATCTGACCCATGCAGGAAGCGCAGAATGGGGGAAAGGGGTCGAGACATCTCCCCAGGCTCTAGATCTCTAGACCAGGGGTCTCCAAGGTTGACAACTTTAAGCCTGGAGGACTTCAACTCCCAGAATTCCCTAGCCCTCCAGGCTTAAAGTCACCATGGTTGGAGATCCCTGTTCTAGATCTCCTTGCCGATTTTACAACTCGTGGATTTCCACTCCCAGAATTCCCCAGCCCACATGCTGGTTGAGGATTCTGGGAGTCGAAGTCCACAAGCCACTAAAGTCGCCCAAGTTGGAGATCCCTGGGACGAGATTCAGGATTATGACAGGTGTCCCTTTGGCAGAATTCCCCAACCAGACATGCTGAAGATAATAACTAGAGGCAGAAGAGATACAGAGGTGAGAAACTCCCAACTGCACAGGCTTAGCCAGGGGGTATTGGAGCAGTTGGAGGGACCGTGAAATTGCCAAGAAAAAGTCTCCCTATCTCCCTGCCGAATCAAAGCCACAAACCTTTAAAATCTACATTAAGGTGGGAAGAAAAGAGGAGAATGAATATTTTCCCTTAATTTTTTCAAGCTTACAAAAACGCTCTTGATTTTGCTGCAAGAAAGCGGCTTTCCGTGCGAACGATGAGTTTTCATACCATCAGAAATCTAACTCGCCTGGTAGAACTTTACTCTGAAGAAAGTTTTTTTTTTTTTAAAAAAAAGGAAGCCATTGCCAAAGCAGTAACATTCATAAAACAAAAAAAGTGAATTATTTAATGCATTAACAATGTTAAATCTCAAGATAAATCCACAACAGAATGAGACTTTCCCCCCCTTCCTTTGTAGAGCATTTCCCCACCCAAATCGTACAGTACTGAGAAGACATTTTCAGTTCAGATGCGACAGACAGTTCTCTGCTTTCTTCTTGGGGTTTTTTTTTTCTTAACACTCAAATCCTAAAGCTGTCTCTCTTTAGCTTTTTTTTTTTTGTATGTATATGTGTGTTTTACAAGAGAGTAGCAAGCAAAAATGTGGTTTTCAAGAATAACTGGAGGGCTTGCTTCCTGATTCGTCTTCTTGGGAGCCCATACTCTGCAAAGGGAAAAACAGGAATTGTTTTGAATCTGGAAGAGCAGAAAACAAAATGTCTTGTGATCTACGCAGACACGGAGCACGGAGGAGAATCCAGCAGAAAGGGCCAGGTTTTCTCATCAAATGAAATTGGTTCCTTTATGCTGATACAGAGACTCAAGATTTTTTTTATGAGGATATTTGTTTTTAAAAAAGAAAAATTCAGTATGGTGAAAGAGCATTTGATTCCGGAATGACCCTGGTGCTTACCTTCTGCACAAACTGAGGGTTCACGGTGATCTCCTGATCCATCGCTTTCAGTCTCTCGTCAAGTTCTATACATTTCAACATCTAAAGGAAGACAGAAGGGATTTCCTGGGAAGCTGTTTTACAGCCCACCGTGGACGAAGGGCTGCAAAAGTTGATGGGAGTTAGCCGAGATGCCTAAACTGATTGCTTTGATTAAAGAAAAGGACGCCATTTTGTTTTGGCTTGGAAGGAAAATGCTTCTGGGCTTTGACATTTGAGGTGTGTGGGGGGGGGGGGAATTAAACTTTGATACATCGGGTTTCGCTCATTTTAGACAGGTTTGCAGTTATAGAAATGGCTGCCATATATTATTGAAAGGAAAAACTGAAGGTTTTATGTTATGACCTTATTCTACTGCATTAGGATATTAAGAATTATTCTCTTTCTTTTCCTCTTTCCCCCACACTTTCCTCTCTTCCCTCCTTTATTTTCCCATTATCTTCAGTTTTCCTTGTATTTGGATAAGCTAATGAAAACATCTGAATCGTGGAAGCTGCATTGCAGCGGCATTCTCCAATACTGTAGGCTGGTAGCCCCTGGACTCACAACCATTCACTTAACGGCCGCTCTAAGTTAACGACGGAATAATCAAACCCCACTTACCTCCTGGTCAATGTTGTGGAGCATCGCTGGGTTGTTGTATTTCTCGGGATTGTCGTGAAAACAAACCATGCCGTCTTTCTGGTTGATACTTGCGAAAATTTCCCCGTCTTCTATCTGCATAAAAAAGGACACGGTTGAAGCAGGATTTTGCTTGGAAACAAACTCTCCCTGGCTTGGTTACTTTTGTGCTATTCAGCTTCTATTTCCAGCCAAGGCAAAAAAAAACCTTACCATATGAAGGACGTATTTTTCTGCCTCCTGAGGCCCCGATAATTGCACTCGGCTCGCCATGTCTTGTAGTGACAGTGTTAAAAATGTCTGAAAAGAAGAAGCACAGCCCAATGGAGAGACTGAACAAGTGATCTCTTCTGCTATCCCCTCCTCTAAAATCTCATCCGTGAAGTGGAATTTGCAAGACACTGCCTAGTTTTAAAAGAAAGGGAAGGGTTATTTTTTGCAAGGCAATGGATGGCAAATAAAAAGGAATTCTACGTGTTATAAAAGTAATGAAAGGTTAATTATTAAATGTTGTACCTTATGCTTCTTGACTCTTTGACGACTGTATCTTGTCTTTTATGTACAGAGAGCATTTGCACCAAGACAAATTCCTTGCGTGTCCAATCACACTTGGCCAATAAAGAATTCTATCTATCTATCTATCTATCTATCTATCTATCTATCTATCTATCTATCTATCTATCTATCTATCTATCATCTATAGCTATCTATCTATCTACCTATCATCTATTTATCTATCTTCATCATCTGTCTATCCTGTCTGTCTGTCTATCTCTATCTATCTATCTATCTATCTATCTATCTATCTATCTATCTATCTATCTATCTATCTACCTATCTACCTATCATCTACTATCTATCTATCTGTCTGTCTGTCTGTCTGTCTGTCTAGCTATCCATCCATCTATCTATCTGTCTGTCTATCTATCATCTATCTATCTATCTGTCTGTCTATCTATCATCTATCTATCTATCTATCTATCTATCTATCTATCTATCTATCTATAGCTATCTATCTATCTACCTATCATCTATTTATCTATCTTTATCATCTGTCTATC